CATTGCCGGACATGGAAAAAGACAAAAGACAAAAAAAAAAAAAATGGGACTAATAATTGCACTCGTCTCAGAGTGTTGTGAGGATTCAGGAGCTAACGTGCAGAAAGTGCCCAAAGCAGTGTAAGTCATGAAGTAGCAAACATGCAGGAGATTGATATTATCAACATCTTTGCCAAATCATGATTTAATTCCTTTGACTCACCTGACTTGCCAGTGAGAAACCAAAGTTAAATCTATGTGGAGGGGGAGGTCCCTCTTTCACTGGGGGCAGAGGAGTGCTAGGTAGTAAACAGCAGCACCAGGACCTTTTGAATCTATGTGGAAATTAATTGCTTAAAAAATATTCATGTTTCTGGTTTATGATGTCCCAACAGTCATCTTAATAAAGTTTACAGAAATCTAGAATGTTGGAAAGGATCCTGAGAGTGTGTGGTGGTATTTTCCAAATGCCAGTGAATAAACCGTATCATGGACACTTAAGAAAAAATTCTCAGGTCTCGCGCTCAGATATTTTTATTTGACAAAGTCAGAAATGGGGTTTCGGAATCCATGCATCTTTAAAATTTTGCAAATAATTCTGAAGCGTAGCCCAGGTTATTGAAGGCCAAAAAATATTACTAAAACTGAATCAAATTTTAGGCCAGTTTGAAACCCAAACTGCCTGGCTTATGATTCTAAGACTGTCATAGTGACCTGTTTCCAGTAGAAAGCCCATTTATGCAGATGTTACACACACAGGTTTAGATGTGAGATTTTCTTGAGCACGGCGGCTTGGTAAGTAAAATTTATGCCACCAGACGATACTGTTTGTTATTCTCTCCTTAATGACTTGCTTGTAACAGTGCCCCACTATTTCTTCAGCCCAGACCTTCCAAAATCCTCTCTACTCAGACAGGCTTTTCCTTCTTTCCAACCTTTCACGCAACATCATTCCTTCATAGTCCATCTGATATCTTTCAAATGATTTAATTTTGAATGTTTCCCTATAATTCTAGGATTCCTGGTAATGCCAACTTTAGAGCTAGAAGGAATTTTAGAGATCAGTTCACTTGACTTTCTCATTCTGTAAATGATGAACAATTCTCCAAGGCCACAGGGTTAGCAAATTATAACCAGAATCAGAATCTGTTGATTCCAGTGTAGCTCTGTAGCATTTCACTAAAAAATACATGAGCCAACATCCTAGCCTTTCTTCCTCCCCATCCCATTTTAGTCCCCAGTTTTTCTTATTTTTTATCATCTGTTTCTCTATGTTATTGTAGCTGATTCTCTTTCTCTTTTCACATTTTCTCCTATTTATATTTCTGTACAATCTGTTTGTTTTGGACTTTCTTTTTTATTGCACGATGACTTCTCTTACTTCTCATATTATCCACTTATGGGTTCTCAGGAAATGCTGATGGTCTGACAATGTTACCTCTTTCCTTCATCTACCTTATCAACAGCAGACTTGTCCAGTGGGCCAGTCAAATTCCCATTTTTCCATATTTTGCAGCTTATTTTCTAAGGCTAGGATTTGTTGAAACAATGTTTATCATGAATAATTCTACTTCATAGTATTGTTTCGTGGTCAAGACTCACAAGGTACTGTAGTATCATTACGAGAAACAGATCCTACAAGGCGACCCCTTTTTTTTTCTCCTCTGCTCACGAGAGAGAACTGGGGCAGGGCCACAGGAACAAAGGCAAAGCATTTATCCACTAAGAACCCATTCTAATCCCAACCCTTAGCACTGAATGCACCACAACAGTGGGAGCCTGGGAGCCCGAGAGGCTGGCCCTCAACAAATGTCAAACAGCTTAGTTACGGCTGT